AAGTATGCTTTTGCCTTGTCTAGTATCTGCCTTCCACAGTCCAAATCATATTGCAGACTTGCAGGGCAGCAGCAAGCCATGCTGTCACATTGAAAAGCGCCCTCTGACAGCAATTTCACAATTCCCTGTAATCTGCATGCACCTACCTTTATCTATGCCCAAAGAACAGTCTTGGTGACAAAGTGACTGCATGTATGTCTTGGCACCTCATGGCATACTTTCTTGTGGCCCACTGCTGCAGTGACAAGTGCTCCTGCAAAGGAATGGCATGGCTGGGACCTCAAACCTGCAGGTCTTTGTAGGGGAACTTACAGCCCAGGAATTACTTTGAGTTTGGCTTTTTCCTGAAACCACAGATTGTGTTCCTCTTTTTTTATGTCTGCTTTACAGCAATTTGTAACGTCTGTCATTTTGCTATCTCACATGTCCTTGTTCTGAAATATCAGGAAATTCAATAAATCACACTGTGGAAAGAACTATTTTAGCCTTTCTGTTTTAAAAGGTTTTTCTAATGTTCATCTTCCGAAGTTTAAATATCCTTTTTCATCAGCCAGAACAACTCAAAGACCAAATGTTTTGCAATTCCTTGAAGGGCCATTTGAACGTATTGCTGTAACTATACATGGGGGATTGTTAGGAACACAATGACTTAACAACAGATGATCAAACAGATGGGCTTTACCCAATATCGACATGGTCCTAACTGAATTCCCCACACATGCGTAACCTCATCAGAATGATAGAATCTCCCTGCTGTGTGCCAGCAGTATTACCTGCCTGGAGTACTGACATGCAGAAAGGCACATAACCTCAGAATAGGACAGGAAGTTTGGACCTGGTGCTGATGGCCTGACTGGCTTTTCCTTGTGGAAATTGCAAGCATAAATCTCTCTGAAATGATAACCCATCCTCCTGGACAGTATCTTCAGAGAGTATGGTATTGATACTACTTGATTTTGGGCACTGTCAGCACAAGCAGTCTGAAAGGAATAAGGTTCTTGCAGCAAATCTCTAATCCCCGTTTGATGAACCTTGGCATTTTAACCCACAAACAAATTAAATGGTTTATAAATACAGGAACCATGGGACCATGTTGCAGGAGTCAGAGTGGTTAAGGCAGTCCTAACCAGGTTTTCTCTGCTCAGATCAAGCTCACCTCACTTTCCCACACTGATGGTAAGGGAGACCACAAAGGGATATTAAGTGGTATGTGTACCAACCTTAAATTGAAGCTGGGCAAATGCATAGGGAGTGCATCCAGTTTCTTTCTCATGACTATCAGCTAGGAAATCCTGTTCTGCTTTACATCAGAACTTCCTTCAAAACAACTAAAATAGTGTGCGAGATTTACTAGGCAGAGACTTACGCTCTGTGGTAGTTCTTCATTTCTTAAATAACCCAAAGCTCCCTGATGAAGAATTTCTCAGGAAATCCACAAGAAGAGACTACTGATCATGCAGCATATGCACTGAATCACTTACTGAGAAGGCTGCCATGAAATGGCATTGGAGAAGATGAAGTCTGAACTGCTGCTGCTGAAACCAGGGCATTCTCTGTTTTCTTCCCACAGGAGCTGCTTTGTGAGTAGACCCAGCTAAGCCTCTTTGATCCAGTAGCTGCTTGTTAGAAGTCCGTAGGGAACTGGCAAAGCAGGGAGAGATCTAAGTTTTGAGCAAGTGTGATTATGCTTGGCAATCTGCAGGTAGGGGGTAATGAAAATTCAGAGCTAAGTGCCATTGAGGAAGTAACAAAACCCCTTGCAGCTTACAGGTGAACACGGGCAGGAAGATCAGAGGACTCAGAACTGAGATGCATGGCATTGTAGGGAGATGCTCAGTGCCACAGCATTACGCAATTAAGCTGCAGTCTCACTGCAAAAGGAGTTTTTCCAGAGGTATGTAGCAGGTCAAAGGCATACCCAGTGGTTAAGTAGAGCTTATCTGCCTGTGCTGGACAGATAGACCAGGGATTTTTCAAGATGCATGGGCAAATGCAGAGTCATAAATATAGGCCTGGACATGCCCCTAACCATCAGAAGTCAGCCTTTTAAAAGTAACAGTTATGAATCATTATAGAAAGACCTGAGGCATCACCGTATGAAACAGGAATTTGAGAGAAAAATCATTCATAAACAGATGTAGACGGACAGTTTCTGAATGGATGTTCTATTCAGTGAGAACACTCTGGTAAAAGACAGGAAAACAAAATTTGGAAAATAAAGCATGACTCCTGTGGCTTCAGCAACCCTTCTGAGGATGGGGAACCTTGCTTACAAGTCCTGGCAATTGGACATGCAGCCATTGTCTCACAGTGTGACCCCAAGAAAGCTGATCTGGGAGGGAGAGCCAGCCTTATACCTCCTTCCCATTCCCCCTGCAGAATCGTGACCTCAGCCAGCAGGACACAAGGCTGCATCTACCTTCAGTCCCTACAACCAGACGGTATTCTCCCAACCCATGGCCCAGCCACTGGTGCAACATCTGTAGGGATACTGATTTGCAAGCCCACAGCCAGATGAAGAAATTAAGGTGGCCAAACACAGCTACCACATGGCCATCGAGCCAAATCTCAAGGCCTGCCAGACAGATTTGTGTAAACACACGTTAACTCATATATTGCCACATGTTTTATAAAGCTCTAGCTCTGGTTTTGCTTGCTGATACAGAACAAGACAAGCCATAAGCCAGCTAACTAACCTTGGCAGAAAAAAGACCTGTCACCAAAAGATTTCAGAGCCCTTTTTGAAGGAAGGAGATAACCCAGTATACAAGGGGGATACTTTGTCACAGAGCAGGGATGTGACTTGCCTGGCATTACACAGGAGACTCAGAACAACCATCACCTGAACTCACCAAAACTGCTTATGCCCATGAGCACAAAAAGCCTAAAGGACTGTAGGGGGCAGAGCTGGTCATTCCCTTTCATGCTAAAAATTAGCCTCCACCCTGCCCCTCTCTGCAGTGAAAGGGCTTTGTGGTACCAATAGCATTATCTTTCAGCTGGGCTACAGCAACAGAAAGACTGTGAATTTATACTCACTTAAAATCCATGGATGCTTTATGTGTGGCTGGAGTTAGATCCTAGTTCCAATGAGCAATTTTATTCTGTTGAACAAAATTTCTACATCTTTTAATTCTTTGAATACATTTTTCAGTTTCCTGTCTCTTACTGCCACATAACGCAGCTATGTATAAATAGATGGTAATTATTATTGCTGCTTCACAGATGAAAAGCCTGAAGGGCAATACAAACACTAAACAGACTCATCACAGAATTAGTTTTAGGGTACAAATACCAGTTTTGTTTTCTGCCTTCTATGGTGACACGTATCTACACAGTCTTGAGAGCCACTCATCATGTAGACAGCACATTCTGCATGCTATAGGACTGCACCTTATAGCTGTATATGGTAGCGCTTGAAGCTTCCTTTTTGGTTTAGTTTTAGTGGAAATTACAGCAAGAAAAAATAAAAAAGACACTAAATCTGTAAAGCTAAGCAAGTATTCAAATATTGAATAGAAAGTTTCATTGCTTTCAGGTTCTATCTCAAAAGATTTCAGGCAGTCTTTCCTCAAAGAGGTCAGAAGTATCCTGAGATAAGCTGTGCTTCCTCTCACTCAGCTCCAAAATGCAGTGATTAACAAATCATTCTCTTTATGAGAAGTGATGGAGACATTTGTCTTAAGGAAGCCACACGTGTTCCTCATGTTGCTGACTGAGGAACGTTGACACTAAACTTTTGTTTAGTGTCTTAAGACCAGCTATTTCTTTAAGAATCTCAGCTCCCATTTTCTGTATCTTGATGCTAGAGACCATCAAGGGCTTTCTGCCCCTGGGCCTGAAGAGCACCTGTTCTGGGTTTGCATTTGTAATACTTTCAAGAGGAGCAATAAACACAGGTATAAGTGAAGAGCAACAACCAAAAAAATTCTGCTTGCCTATGAATAGTTTATCTAAACTGATCAAAATTCTGAGTAAATTCTGCTCCTGGGAGAACTAGCCATTTAGGCTTTTGTTTTATTACCTGGCCAGGTTATAGGGCAGTGAATGAGCACACAGAATCCACCAAGAAAGCTCTTGCAGCAAACTTAACCCTAAACTCTACTGTTGTTAAGATGTTCATTGAAGGCATATTGAAAGCAAAATTTAAAATACCTTATTTGACTTGTGTTTGGAAGGTTGGACAAGGAAGGGACACTGAAGGGTTCACTGATACATAGCAGCAGAATCAAGGAAGGATGACTTATGGCTTGGACACGAGAGAAAAATTTACATATCAAAGTATGTAATAAGCAATGACCTTATTTCACTGCTGCAGGAAAGGGGAGGAAGGGGGGAGTTAGCTTTTGCTAATAATCACACAGCTTTCTCCTGGGTTTCCTTCATAATTTTTAAAGATCCCATTTTCTGTCATAGTAATTTGATTATCTAACACCAAAACAGTAGCATGGGTAACACTGATTTGATCACTGTACCACTTCAAACTTCATCATACAATTCCTTCCTGCTTACTTTTATTTGCTAACATTACTTTTATTTGCTAACATTGACAAGAACTCATTTTCTGTTTCTGTAATTAGCAAGGATGAAACTAATAGAGAACGGGTTTTCCCAAGAGTCTAAGCAGCTACCTTGTAAGCAAATTCCTGGTTCTTGGATTCACTAGGAATTTTCTTACAAAATCATACAGTATGTTTTGTACAGAATCTCATCTCACTCAGGATCCATGATAGGCCTGTTTGGGGATGAACAGACACTTGTGGCAAAAGAGGTCATTGGCGTAGGACTCTCGTCCCATAGTATGAAGAGAGGTGAGAGGCATATAATGAATGAGGATGAGGGCTCCAGAAAGAGAAATGAAAGTTTCACTATTAAAGCAGCTGAACTCAGTTGTGAAGAATTATATTCTCTCCTTATGTTTGCTGTAAACACCTACTGGAAAGCACAGAAACAGTTTTTAGCAGCAAAATACACAATGGCAACAAAACAACTGTGCCCACCTCAGCCAGAGCAGCAGAGAAGTGATTACAGTTCTTGTGCATCAGGTGGTATGCATTTCCCTTGTACTCCTTGCCCAGCTCTTCCATTATCTTATCCACATCCTCTTCTGTGAAGTCTGTGGTGCCCAAGGCAATGGATTCTCTAGTTAAAAACAAAACACACAACAGGAAACATGGGAAGATACAGTGACGAGAGTGATACATACCCAGGGAGAAGGAAATTGTCAGACACTGGGAAGAGGACAGGCTTAAAACATGGACATGCATACCTGGGTTTATCAGAGACTCTCACTAACAAAATGGCACAGTAATACTCCCACCTTATCCACAAAACAGGTTACAGCTCAGGCAACAGCCCTGAAAGCTTCCTGCTCACCACCAGGGAAGTTTCAGCTCTGGGGGTCTTATCCCACTCTGTCCATCATCCCACAACAGAAGTTTCTAATAGGAGAGAACAGATGCTTCTTTCATGTTTGAGAGGGTTTCCATAACGTGGGCCAGGAAGGAGCAGACTAAAAACTTGATGCAGAAACCTACTGCCTTTCCCAGTATTCACTCAGTAGTGCTCATTCTTCTAAGAGTCTCCAATGACCCTCAATGTAGACTGGCAGTTTGGGAAGGTCAAGCCCCATCTGCCATGGGCAGTTCCTTGACCCACAGCCCCACAGCCTGAGCACCTTGAAGTAGGCATCAATGCAGCATCCTGTCAGACTCCTCTAGCAGCTGCTCTGTCCATTCTGACAGAGCAGCAATAAACACAGGAGATAACTTCTGGTACTCTGTACAGTATCCACAAATAGGTGATACTCATTTTATCCACCTCCAAAATCTCTGCAGGGCTGCCTTTACACCAGGAGCATGTGAAGGATGCAGTGACAGTGCTTGTGAGGAGAGAGAAAGGGAGACCCAGAGGACAGGACTTTCCCTGCTTCCCCTACACCAATGGCTTCTGGGGGCAGAGAGGAAGATGTAGAAAAGGGCCCTTACTTGAACTTAAAGGTCTCGCCAAGTTCTACCGCACTGCCAGGTGTGATCTCAAAAATCCCACTGAAAGGGTAGGGATGCCCTCCATAGGCAAACTCTGACAAGGAAAGAAACAGACTGTGAGTAATTGAATGAATGCAATGTCAGGAAAAAGTCTATGGCAGCTGTCTGCCCAGCTCAGCATCAGCACCAGGGGCTGGGCTATTGCCAAAATCTCCAACCAGACTGAAAGGCATTTTCTCTATCTGGTTACCTATCAGCCTGAGGATGCCCTTAAAGCCACCCTCCATGCTAACACTACTGCTTTGCCACAGTGCCAGGAGAGCTCTCAGACTCTGTGCTCATCCAGATGGCTTCCTCTCAGTGGGAAGTTTTGGGGTGGAGGCATCTAGATAAACTATGAGAGGCTGTCAGTGGTGAGCTGGAAGAAGTCTTCTCTAGAGTAGGGAGAAAACAAGTCTTCTTCCAGAGGGATTTACAAGCAGTGAGTGGGAATTCTTTGCAGAAAGCCAAGCTGATTGCACTCAGCATGTGGGTCAAGCCACAAGGTCCTTCCATGTCATACATGCAATCTTGCATAGCCTGTGAAAGGTGCTGTGCTCAAAATGGAACATGGCACCCCAGGGATTTTGTCTACTGCATAGCACTGAATAAAAATACCATGAGTAGCCTGAGACAATCCCATTTAATGCTGAAGAAGGAAAGGGAAAGTGTGATGCTGATCTGTCCTTCACTGCTCTACAGATGTTTTCCCAGATCCCTTGACTGCACTTTTTGCAATGAGTGCTCTATCACCTTCATCCCCATCCAGACCTTGTAACTCTGCTGTTTTCAAAGAACAGTTTCCAAGATTTCCAGATCATAGACATTCATAAAGAATTACTGCAAAACAAATATACCCTACCAGGAAATTAGCACAAGCACAGATATGCAGGTCTCAAGACAACCACTGGTCCACTTCTCTTCCTCCTCTCCTGCTTCTCCCATTCTCTCTTCCCCTCCTTCACTGCAGAACAGCTTTCTAACATTGCTTGGTCCTTCCTATCTGCCATCTTGCTGCATACCTGTGCAAGCTATAGAGGCTACAATTACATGGCAGAAATATGAAGGGCTACGTGGCTCATGACAGAGCTGCTCAAGTTCCTGCTAGATTCCACAATGGACTCTAAAAAGAGAACCGGTCAAGCTGTTCATTTCTCAAAATATTCCTTGCCCAAGCCTGTAAGTTTGGGGTGCTTTCTATATCAGGCTAACTACAGTTGTCACCATGTTCTGCAGGTAGTGGAAAAGAAATACTTCATACCTCTGCCGTAGATCTCGATGCCAGAGTGGAAGACACCAATACCCAAGGTGGAGGTGTATTCATTTATCCAGTACTATAGCAAGAGAAAAGCCACATTTGGAAGCATTAGTGAAGAAGAAACACATAATATTGGTCTAGGGTATATCCCCCATCTCCCGTCCTCAGATCAACCTCTCTTAAGTAGAAGAGTGATTTTGAAATTAACTTGAGACAAACAAATTGAGACTCCTTATAGGCCATCAGAAGTGGGTACTGCTTATACAGCTGGATTGGATTAGGTCTCCAAAAGATGCTCATCTAATCCTTTCCATGTAAAACATTAACCTGTATTGGGATATAACTGGACTTCAGCACCATTTAGTCATTATCTCGATAACTAAAGAAAAAAAAAAAAAAGAAACTCAGAGCACGTTAACATTTTGCTCAGAGGCACCACATACTATCAAGAGACAAGAGCTTGCTGTAGCCAAATTAGGTCCAAGATGACCACAACATCACCCAAGTAAAATTTTCCAGAGGAGCTGTTAAATGACTTCATTGTTCTGGTCAGAGTCCCACACCTCCCCAGTACATTAAGAGAAGAATAATATAGCAGTTTGGTGCTTGCATGTGATGCTTCTCCACCAAGCATTGCTCAGAGCCTGTTTCCACCATACCATGAAGGACAGTGCAGACACCCAAACAAGTCGCAGCTAAGCTAATTGTGGAGCAGGAAGCCGTACAGTTATGCCAGGGTAGTGCTGCATTGGAGATAATTAGTCCTGCTCAGCACCAGTATTTATTAGGTCAGCTGCAGAGCTGTGCTGCTACAGAAATAGTTTCAGGCACTGAGTGGAAAATGCCCACGCCTGGTGTATTTACAGTTCACTTAGGTCTACTGTGCAGTGAAGATGAATCTCTAGTAACTTAGAGCTACTAAATTCTTACTTTAATCAAGCACTGCAAAGGAAATGAGTGTTGTTCACTTGTCCCTGTACAAGGACATGACAGGTTCATTAGGCTAAAATTCTTTTTTGGGGTCTGATAGCTGCTTCTGGTGAAGTCAGAAAAAGCTGCACCTCCCCTGCTGTCTGGCGTCACTGAGCTGCCATGGTATGAGTTAGAACCCTCTGCTGTCAGGTAACCAGAGGTCTGGCATACTCTACACTCTGCCCACACTGCTTCCTCATGAAATTTTGATGACTGCAGTAGCTCTGTATATCATAGAATCATAGAATCAGAGAATAGTTAGGGTTGGAAAGGACCTGGATATACTTGCTGTGAGACCACTGCTACTGTTAGAAAACACAATGGCTCTCATATGAAAATACAGTCCCAAGCCTGATATAATGTATAGATACCTACAGATATAAGTCTTGATACCTTAAACCATGTCCCCAAAAATTCCTGCCTCTGGCAGTACAGCAGTTCCCTTTCCCTTCAGAAAATGCTGCAATGCTTCTTGTTCTTTGCGTGTTTTGGTATCACAAATGTTCTATTACTGCAGAAGAACAGCAAACAACCTGACCCCAGCTGGATGCCTGCCCACTGCTCTCTTCAGACCTTGTATAATCTGTATTTACCTCTTCATTTGAGTTATGCAAACTCCTGTTTTTAGGATACATCAGAACACTGGACTGGAGGTAGATCAGGTAGCTCTCCTCTGCCAGCTGAAACAGTGCATTAGCAATGAACCCTCTGTTGAACACCATGCCTGGTATTTAGGACATGATGTGCCCTTGCCTTCTGCTGCTCTTCTCCACAGTTCTCTGCTGCAGGAATATCCTTGCACTGACTGGGGAAGATGATACAGAGGTGGAGGCTGCATACAGAAGCCCATATGACACCAGCCACATCTGCAGAAGAGACCAAAGCCTATGTCCCATGGACACATAACCCTCAGTTCAATTCTTTGATCTCCCAAATCTCATGGGTTAACTCCTCAGTTAGATAGTCTCAGATCGCCTCAGTAAGCTTCAGAGAAATACTGGTTTCTAGAGTCCCACTGTAACAACTCCCACAGGATATGATAAGTAGGTTGTTTACTTCCCTTAGGCTGAGCTATTGTGTAGCAGCAACAATACAAGCACAACATGCCCAGGTCATGCCAGCTGCTTTGCTTAGAGGAGTAACTAATAGGAAGAGAAGGGAAACTTTAAATTAGATTTGCTCTTGCTAGTTATCAAAGTCAGGGCTATCTGATCTGCAGAGGCTAATCTGCATCAGGCTTTGTACTTCAAGAAAGTTAAACTGAAAGCCCCTCTCAGCTATAGCTTTTTTTCTTCCACTTGAAAATTTATGTTGGATCTGAACAATAAGTAAGCAAACAAGCAGCAAAAAAAACCCAAACAAACAAATCTTTCTCCTTGATTGATACGTTAGAGTAATGCACTGAGACCTGATCACCTCATGCATGCAGAGGACTGTCAGATCACAAGCCCTCCCTGCCCCACATCAACTCTTGCTCTCAGCACTGAGCCACAGCCCCCAAAACCCGCCCTGTCCAACTCCTGCAGGCAAGAGCCAAGCTAAAGGGCAGTTCTGAAAACACAGGTGATGGGGAGGCTCCACCAGAGATAAAGAAGAGAGGAGCAGAAGTGTTTCTCTGTCTGATGTCAGGTGTTGCAGGATTACAACTGTCACTTGGACATTTCTGTGTTTAAATGGCATATTTTCCAATATGAATTCCTTTAATGAACCATTATGGACTGAACTGCAACAACCTCAGCCATATCTGAACTTGAACTGAATAGAAGCTATACTGGTTTATTACTTTCTTTGAAATAACCTCAATAACACAAGGTGTTACTGAAGCAGGATCTGATCTGCATCTTGGTTCTACTGGTATGATACTGGTATGATCTATTAGCAAGACCAAAATGCAAAGCAACTCTGAATCATGGCTGCTACTGTCCTCATCTCACCCCTGTCTCCAGGGTGCTGCAGAATCTGCCTCCAGTGTGTGACTGAACACACAGTGAACGCCTCATGGCACTTTGGCACAGCCCATGGCTTGTCTCAGGAGGAACCTGTGCTTAGAGTGAACATGTCAGTCACTATCTGAGCTGGAAGAGAGAATCCAAGCCAGATTTGAAACCAGGTTTCTACACACATGCATGAGCTGGCCTCATTTTCCAAGGGGTTTGCAATTCTGAGCATAAGAACAGCAGCAGCAGTCAGCAAATACTCATCTCTGGGGTAAATCGACTATTGCTTAGATTAAAAACAAAAATGTGCAGCCTGTTCCATCAGATAAAAAAGCCTGGGTATTGAATACAACAGTATTTTAAAGAGAGATGTGATTCATGCCTGCATTGCATATTGCCTGCAAAATTATGCTGTAAACCCTACACAGAGGGACTTGGAGCATCCTGTCTCATTTTCATCTTCAGCAGAGGCAGAGAACAGCTTAGAAGCGAAGAGATGCAGGGAGGAAAGCTAACCAGACTGTAGCTGTTTCACAAAAGCAGCATATAGCACAGGACGCAAAATCTAAACAAGAGAGAAAACAAGCTCTTCACATTTACAGTTTGCAGTGTATCACTTAAAAGCTTTTAATGCAGGTCCCTGATGAAGTAGAATTTGAAATTTTCCAGTTTTTACTCAAATCTTTCCTTATTTCCTATTGGTCTGGTTTAGCGATCAGAATACTTGGTAAGGTAATTCAGATTCCAGGAGATAGTCTGAGTAAGTTGTGTTACTCCATTTATCTTTTACACAGAGGTAGACTTGAGAGCCTCACCAGGACAGTAAACCATGCCCTAACTTTCCATAAAGGAAAGAAACTGAACAGCTTCATTATATTGCTACACTTCTGGTCGGTCTAGGATGGAGAAGCAGATGGCATAATACTAGCAGATTATGTCATCCCGGAACTTCACAGAGCAGGACTTCCTGGGAACTTCTACCAGAAACAGGTTTCAAAATAGAAGAGGCCCATCCTTGTAACCATGACTTCTACCATCAATTAATAGCATATTGTAACATTGAAGTTGCTGTCACTAACTTTCTCTTTACCATCCTACTTCAGGCCATTATTTCCTGTGGTGTGACACCAAAATCTGTCATGCTTCAATGTGTAGAGCAGTTTAAATAAACAGCTCCCTAGGGGCTGGAGACAAGACCACCTCTGTGAGTATCTGTTCCATTTATCACCCCAGTACAGATTGGATGTTCCACTCCACCAGCTCCATCCACTACTGAAGATACACTAACCCATCCTTTTTTATGATTTGTATGAACATATAGAAAAGAAATACACTGGAAGATGCTAAATAAATCTGGCTTCAGCAAATAAATGAAAGCTCTGAGTGCTCAGTGTCATTGATCCTTGACATGCTCTTCTACTCTTCACAAGGTACCACACAATCATTATCTGAACCAGGATACAAGGCTAGATAAAGCTTTGTTCTGACTTAGTCTGGTTACGTGGACATCAGAGCAACCAAAGTCAGAGCAAAGCTTTATCTACCCTTGTATTCCGATCTTTGAACAAGACATCTTTACCAATGATGGGTGCAGATGATGAATGAGTAGCTAACTTAACCATATCTCCTCTCAAAGCACCATCTACATATGTAGTATTACCTCCTTTTCCCTATGATTCCACTGGCAAAGCTTTGCTTCTAGGAGGAAGGAGAAAAAAATATCAGTGAAGATTAGATGAGATGCAGATGATATTCTGACATTGCTAGAGAGCAAGGAGCATGTCAAGAGACTGAAGGAAATGGCCAAATCACCTCACTCTCTGCTAGTCTTCATGGAGCACTCCTGCCAAGACAAGTCCAGTAACAGACTGCCCTACCACTGGGGTTTCCTCTTTGAGGGCCAAGACACACACTGTAACACCAAGCTCTCTCTTGCAGAGATGCCTCCTCTCTGTAGGATATGGGAGCTGGCTCAATGCAGAAGATACCCTTAGCTCAGCAAATGCAGGGGAAGACATCCAGGGCTCCAGTTGCTAATCAGTGTGCTGCATGAAAGGGGTAAACTATCAAGGAGCATTTCTTCACACCTCTGCCTTTACACACTGCATAAAGTCTTTCCCTAGAGGCTTTGTCCTGGGCTTAGCAGTGCTTGGCCCTTGTATACACC